AGGTGAACACGACGAGTTGTTCATCAACTCGGTGTGTCGGATGAGTTTTCATGTGGAGTTCGAATGGGAGAGGAACTCGTCGAGTTGACGGCTCAACTCGACGAGTAGGTGCACGGATGAGGACGAGTAGAGAGTGGGGGACTCGACGAGTTGACGACCCAACTCGGCGAGTCGGGTCAACTGGAAGTTGACTTTGACTTTGACTTTGACTTTGCCTTGACTTGGTTGGGGGTAAAATGGTCATTTTACCCTAAGTATAGAGATTAGTTTCTAACTGAGTATTGTGGGGTTGTAGCCGGAGGATTTCCGGAGCAGCAGCGGACGGAGGTTTCCCGCACAGATTATCAGCGACTATTTGTACGAGGTGAGTTACCTTCCAGTAGCGGTGGGTCTACGGCCACAATGTCGGCCCACCAGTAGGGATCGTATGATAGATGTTTGTCTTTGTGATATTCATCTGTGTTGCTACTACCTGTTATGTTATATGCTAGCGTGATATGATATGTGATAGTGATAGAGTTCGGTTGTTAGGACCGAAGGGTAGGTTAGGCACCCCAGATATGCCTAACAGTGTGACATGATATGTTTAGCTGCTAGCATGATATGTTATTTGAGATAGAGGTAGTAGGAGGGGGAATAGTCCCCGAGATTCGGTTGTTAGGACCGAAGGGTAGGTCGGACACCCCAGATATGTCTGACAGTAGATTATGTTATGATATATGTGACAGTAGTAGTAGGGGGTGAAATAGTCCCCGAGGTTCGGTTGTTAGGACCGAAGGGTAGTCAGCACCCCAGAATGGCTCGACATGGGTAGGTCAGCACCCCAGAATGGCTCGACATGGGTAGGTCAGCACCCCAGAATGGCTTGACACAGGTAGGACGGCACCCCAGAATGGCCGTATGGGTAGGTCGGCACCCCAGAATGGTCGTACCGGGTAGGTCGGGCACCCCAGAAATGCCTGGCAGTATGTATGCTATATGATTGTATGGTATGTGGACGGTGGGGGAACTCACTAAGCTTTGTGCTTACAGTTTACAGTTTTGTTTTCAGGTACCTCTTCATCGAAGGGGAAAGAGCTGGCGCGGTAGCGGCACATCATACACACACGCATTGGTTTTCCGCATTATGAGATGTTCTGGGATTGTACTCTGACATTATTATATTTTTATGATTTGACTTTCAGACACGAGATATGTTCTTTATGAAATGATATGATTGGATGATGTTTATTCACAAATGTTTTCCAAAGTATTGATTTAAAAATGAAATTTTTGGCCTGTATTTTTGGGACGTTACATTATTTTTAGGGTGTTTTCTATATATTCATCTTATTTAAGAGATGTTTCTAGGAATGTAGACCAGGTGTTTGATTAAATGCCTTAGTGAAATTTTTTGTCATTATGGCGTAAAAAGCATAAGTTCTTATGAAGAATGAGTATTATCAAGCATAGCTTTAACAAGAATAACATGTTAGGGAAAGTAGAAAGTAGAAGTATTGCTTTCACAAAACACGTCTCACCTAGCCTACTTGAAAACAACTAAGACCTGTTTATTGATCTGTATGCTTGCATTGTAATGACACCTGGTTTTGAAGCAATGACAAAAGTTAATCTCTGTGCCTTGTTTCTTTTGAATTTAAAATGTATGATGGTTGACCAGAAAAAGTCAAAGTGTATCTATCTCTTTTTCTATATTTTATTTTCAGGATGTATGTATTCTCTTTTCACACAGTGATTTTATTTGATCCAGCAAATGATGAGCAACATAAGGAAGCTGAAAGATTGAATAATTGAAAAAAAAATAAAGAAGAAATAGTGGTGGATACAAGATCTATTATACCAATCACATCAATGACTCTAGAGACTTCACAACATAGAACCAGGAGACCATTTTCTATTTCTGAAGTCGAAGCACTTGTGGAAGCATCAAACTGAACTGATTCATACATTTGGGGCTTCGGTTAAAGTCTGATTGGAGTTGGAACTTGAAAGGGTGTACAAAGAAAGATTTAGATAAAGAGTACGAAGGGGGATAAGGGGGTTTTAAGGTTTTAACATGTTGATTTTTCATTTGGTTCATATGATTCTTTTGTACATTGTAATTCTATTTGTAATTGGATGCGGTTTGTAATTCTTTTATGCAATTCAAGAAATTCTATAATTTGGTGTTTTTTCTTGCTTTGAATTGTATTATTTATATTTTATACTATGATTATCTAAGCTCTTTATGATAATCTACATAAGGGTAACGAATTTCTTCATGTTTGCTAGTTTTTGCAAGTTGGAAGTTTTTTTTTTTTTTTTTTTTTTTTTTTTTTTGTAATCAATGTAAAAAGCAGTTATCTTTGTTTCTTGGTAGTACAATTCCATAAGTCGGGTCTAAACTTCATTTTTGGTACTTTTTTTTAAGTTGTTCTTTTTGTATCAAGTCAAAAACGAAACACCCTTATATAAGTAATCGGGTTAAGGTGTTGTTACTTTTTGGCTTAACAGAGTAAATGGGGATATGATTATATAGTGGTTCTTTTTTTTTTTTGATGTTATATAAACAAACTGACTTCGTGTTATCCGTTAAAACATCATTGTCTTTATTCTGCATCACTTCTACACAAAAGGGTAAAACAGACATTTTTTCATATAGAGAAAATTCATTTAGGTGTTGTTTGTTTTTAAAAAAAAAAACTCTTCAAACCACTTTCTGTTGCGCGGCGCAGCACACGCGCAACACGTTTTCTCTCGCAGCAGTTTGTTTTTTGGAAGACTTCAGACTGCAAAACCTCTGCGCGTGTGCTGCGTGGCACAACACTTGACTTGCCTCTTCAAACCTCTTCAGCTTTCATTTTTTTGAAGTGTTTTTTTAGAATTTTTGTATAACTTATTTTTTTAAAACTTTTATTTTTTTTAAAAACTTAGATTTTTTTAAACTTTTATTTACGGATTTGATACAATTTCTTATTATAGTTTCCACAATTTTTTTTAACTTGATTTTTTTTTAAAAAAAATACTTTAATTTTTTTAATATTCTTACTGATTCTGTTAATAATATTTTCAGTTTCAATTTCATCTTTTTTAACGTGTGTAATTTTTTATGAACTTTGTAGACATCGTTTGCAATTCTTTCTTAATTTTTTTATTATTTTCTTTTTTATGTTTTTTAAAATTAGATTTTTTCTAGAATAAAGTTGTTAGCTTCTTTTATATTTTTGTAAGTTTTTTTTTAAAGTTTTATATTTTTGTGTTTTTTACATGTTCTTTTTAGTATTCTTTCAATGTTTTAATACTAGAATTATTTAAATTTCGGTGTTAACTATTTTCAGTTTATAAAATTAGTTTATTTAAACTTCAATTTACTGCAGCAGTCTGCAGATGTTAAAAAATAAACATGCTTCTTATTATGGGCTGCAGCCGTTTGTTCCACCTCTTCTGCTACAGAAGATTGCAGAGGTGGTCTGCAGACTTCACGAATTTTCGCTTCGAAAAAACAAACAGCACCTTAGTCCATTAAGTAAAAAAAGCACTACTTTACCTCAGTTATTTGAATGTCATTTAAAAATCTTGCAGCCAGATTTTCCAAAACAATTTCATTTGATGAGGCAAAAAAGGCTAAGATATGGCTTATGAACTACTTTTCTGATTCAGTCAACTTTTGCAATTGTTGTATAATATATATTGATATATTGAAAACAATATATAACAAGAAAACATCATATAATCTTAATAAGAGGAATGATTTAAAGTAAGAAAAACACCCGAATTATGGAATCGTACTACCAAGAAACAAAGAGAATTGTTTTTATATGTTGATTACCCAAAAGTAAAAACTCCCAACTTGCAAACTCTAGATAACATGAAGAAGTTCCGTCACTCTTATGTAGATTATCAGAAAGAAATTTGATAATCATACTATAAAATATAAATAGTACAATTCAAAGCAAGAAAAAGCACCCAATTTATATTATTTCTTGAATCAGAAGTGCAACAACAACAATCGATTTCTTGAACCTTTTTTTTTCTATGATTTCTGTGAAATCCAATTCGTAGAAGCATAATTTGAATGTCAATCAGCGTTTTTCTAAACAATGACCATGAAGCAGGAAGCAATCAAAGATCAAATAGGGAATTTTCAGAAAATAAAGGAAATAATCACAAACATAAGTGTGACAAATAACTGATTTCTTGAACGTAGAAGCATAAGTCAATGTCTTTTTAATCGATGATCACTTAAGCAAAAGCAGTCGAAGATTAAGGAAAAGATGGTGTACGTCGTTCAGGAAATTAAGGAAATAATACGAACGTAGTAGTGGTTTTTTTTTAAGGAAATTGCATTATCTAATTCATAAAATGGAATTAGTAATGAAAAAGATGTAGTTTTGTTTTTTGGGTTCCTAGATTTATATACCCTTAAGGTATATTCACTATTCCCATATAACATTTGAATATATAATAATGATATGTACAGTAGACACACAATTCAACGATATAATTTTTTCTTATCTGACATATAATTCAATGTGAACCTAGTTGAGTTCAACAACCTAGAAGAGCCGTTAACATCATTGTATCCTGGAAAATAAACGTCTGGTGGGGGTCAAATTTATTTTAAGAAAACTGTGTCAAACACAAGTTTCTCGTTTTTCAAGTTGATCTTCATGTTTTTTCTGTTTTTTTTCATTCAAATGTTCTACAATATTTTGAGTATTAAAGGGAGCCAACTAGCACAAGAAACCACATATAGTGAAAAGTATCTCATAATCTTCTACAGGTTTATATTTCCTCATCACTGACTACTAATTACTAATTACTAGCCTAGACAAATGTATACTTAGTGAGTTTGTAGCAAATGTTAATATCTAGTGGTGGTGATTATTATTCGGCTTTCTCTTACTGGCCAAATTGATTATGTGATCTGCTCAAAGCCTTTTGTTTATCAATTAGAATATTTGTATAAAAAGCTTTTCAGGTACAACCATACAAGTATGTATATGTCTTGTAGAGCACATGTACCTACTGCATCTTTTCTTGTACATTGACAATTTCCCACATGAGTTCTTGAAACGTACTTCAATATACATGTACCTAATGCATCTTTTCCTTATATGCTTCCTATATCTATCAAATAACTCAGCAAATAACACCACCTTTGGAATAGTAAGCCATGTAATGTTTCAACATCAATTTTTTGTTTTCCATGTCTATAGAAAAGTACTGTTCCCTATACATAAAAATTTTCAAGACAAAGTTAAGTCAAACTTATGGTACTCAAATGCAAACTATATGAAAACAAAACTAACACAAAATAAACCTATAAGGGCGGCAACTGTCGTGAAAGTCTGCATTTCTTTTATATTGTGTACATTCACCTCCAGTGTCAATTTCTGCAACTGAAACAAAGAAATAAAATCAAACAATGAATGTTAAATTCAAGAAAGAAATTAATGAGACTATAAAGAATAATTCTGATCGATTTTATTTTTGCAGCACATAGAGACAACATGCTCTTCATCTGTAATACCCACGTCAGAAGCTATTTTAGTTTATCTTTTCCTAATTTTGACTTCACTTTTTGTAAAAGAGGTATGATTTCAGAATAGCAAACAAATTTTGTTCTTTTTTATGGAATATCCCATTGAATGTTGGAATATGTAAGGAATCAATTAACAAAACTTTTATATGTTGGAATAGTATATGTAAAGAATCCATTAACAAGAAAGTAAATGAATTATTCTAATAATTATTTATAATCCTTGTTATTATTAGTGATTCATGTCGTGTTTACCTAATCATAATGGTAGAATCAAGGGGATAGTGGGAAACAAGGGAGGCGGATGGCAATGTTATTTTCTTAGAATTTGGTATTCAAAAAAGTAAATGTTAATGAGAATAATGCAAAATAAAAAGTTGAGAATAAACTATGAAATAGCGAATACTCCACTGACCCGTGGGTAGAGGTAAGGTTGCCATGAAATCTTGATAGAAGAAGGTGAATCATGTTGGATCATAAATGTAGTTTCATCCTCAAGTTCTTTGTCCCAAAATTCGGAGCAATCTGTTTTCTGCATCTCATCACCTTTAATTTTCCTAGGAACTAGCTCAACTCCAAAATTACTCTGAGCTGCAGCCGAACTGCAACCCATGTCTATGGAAAATGAAATCTTATTGCATGAGGAATTCAACAATGTTGTGTGCCTCAATGAACTAAAGGAAACATATCCCACATATGTCTTTGTTTCATGATATTCAACACCCGGTGCTTCATTAGACTCCTCACAAATCTCAGATCGAGAATCTTTATCTACCTCCCACTCGATTTTTATGTAAAGATATGGAGCATTTATTTTGGTAAGAAAGCATATTAAGAACCCACAAAAGTCATTGTACCAATCATGTGGAAGATGCAGTACAAATGTTTTCCACCTAAAGAGCCTACCAACAAACCCCTTTGGAATCATCTGACGTTCAAGAGCAACACTGATAAAATGATCTTCAAGAGCATTTCCCTGCAATGAAAACAACACATTCATTTATGGTTATTATGTTTGGGTTTATATGATAAAGATTGAAATTACAAAGGTAATTAGTGAGTCAAACCTGGAGCATGGAGTCTAGTAATATGTCACCAACAAGTTTGTTCTCCCCCCAAAGTGAGACTTTCCACAACCATTTACAGTTTGAAATATCTCCAAAGCTTTTAAGCGACCTACAATAATCCGCCTTCACAACAGCTATACTCGATGGAAGCTCTGACAATTCTGTAAGTTGTTTGCAGTATGACACGTTGAGCCATTTGAGTCGGGGAAGCCGCATGCTACTAAAACTTAATCGTGAAAACTTATTTCCTGATAGATTGAGTTCTTCCAAGTTGGGTAAATCCCAAACAGCATAGTCAATGTCTTTATCTCCCACACTGCAGTATGAAAGATCCAACTTTCTTATGTGGTTGAGAGGTACACAAGGCTCCTGTAAACTACATTCTACATCATCGAGGTCCTTCTGTGGTTTCTTAACTTCTACATCACCACACATCCACCACGTAACCAAAAAGTTTGTTGAAGGTTTTTTGTAGGATGCAACTTCTTTCCCACCATTATCCAAATGAAGATATGATAATTTGTCCATGTTTTGTGGGATCTCTAGGAGCTTAACAAGTTTGGGGCAATGTGATACTGAAAGGGTCTCGAGTTTCTTTAGTCGGGTTAAGGGTGGAAATATCTTAAGACTGGCACAATATTTTATAGATAAGAAAACAAGCCTTTCCAAGCGTCCTATCGATGGATGAATCTCTTTTAAACAGTGACATACATGAAGAGTAAATCTTTCAAGATTTGGAAGTCCATCAAAATCTGGTGTCTTGATTAGGTTTTTCAAATCAGCAAGTTCCATGATTTTCAAATTTAGCAAATGCTGTTTTATACAAGTGACAAGTCAAAAGTATATCAAGGCAACAGAAACAACAACAATAACAACTATGCTTCCTAATGAGACCTCCACCAAGCAAAAGTCAGTTAAAGATTTTCTTTTATAGGATTCAACTTCTTACCCACTATTAAAAGGAATGAAAAACTAGAAATGGGAGGTCAAACGAGAACCATTATGAAATCGAGAACACGAGAACAAGGTTTAATCACATGTGAATAGCGTAATTAATCACATAACTCAATCCAAATAACACCAATAACAAATGAACTGTAAAGGTTATTTGGTTGACCCAAACTATGAACACTGATACTTGGAGAAAGAAGACTCCTAAGAAGCCTAATGTTTATAATTCATGTTGTTTAACAGTGCACGACATGTGATGTAGAACTTACAATTCATACATCATATTTATTCCTAACAATTTGATATTTCTCAACCAAGAAAATTACCTTGTAACCCTTCCAAAGTTGTTTCTGCGATATGCCATCCAATGTTAGACAACAAAGCTCACTTGGTAGAAAGTTACTAGGAAACGGACTCGCAAGGTCACCTCTCCAATAAATCCACCGAAGATTTTTCATGTTTGCAATAATCCGAGGAACAGGTTCTACTAGATCATAACTATTGCATTGTATTGCTTCAACCATGTCAAGTTCCTGTGACACAAACAAAATGGTGTCAGAGTTCATTTAAAACTGTTTCTTAATACATGTATCATGCAAAGCTAGCTTAACCATTACCTTCGTCGCATCCATAGCACATATTTTGAGAAGGTCTTCCTTCTTCCAAACTCTACTATGTTTTTCAGGATTTTTTGGGTGTTTCCCTCTAACAATGTAGTGTCCCATTTCTTGCACCAGATCATGCATATCAAAAACTCCATCTGAAACAGTTATAAGAGCCTTTTCTATCAAAACCTTTATGCCTATAACAGGGTAAAAACCAAAAGCATGAAAGGTTGCCATTAACCTTTCATTTTTATACTCCCCACTGAAGAAACATGCAATATCAAGGAACAACTCTTTCTCAACCGGTTTAAGTCCATCATAGCTGATTTTTAGTTTTTCCACAATATCAGACTCTGGGATCTCTTTCAGTCTGGCTAATGCACTCCTCCACTCAATAATGTCTTTGTCACACAGAAAAGAACCCAGAATCGTAAGTGCTAATGGGAGGCCACCAGCATAAGAAACCACATCACTTGAAAGCAGCGCAAAATCTTTCATAGGTCTATAATCCCGGAGTGCATGCTTGCTAAAGAGCTTAATAGCCTCATCATCATTTAACAAGCTAACATTGTGTATGACATCTACTTTGTGAGCATTTAACAAATGCTCATCTCTAGTTGTTATTATTATTCGGCTTCCATCGCCGAACCAATCATGTGATCCAGCTAACGCTTTTAGTTGGTCAAAGTGATCGACATCATCAAGAACAATCAAGACCTTTCTATGGCACAACCTATCCCTTATCATGCATCTTCCTTCTTCAACTCTATGCACTTCCATTTCTTTTTGTTTCAACACTTCTATAAGAATCTTTTCCTGCAATTTTTGCAAACCGTACTTGCTTGATTCGTCTCGAATGTTTTCAACAAAGCAAGAACCATCAAAGTTGCTAGAGATTTCACTATAAACGTAAGATGCAAGAGTAGTTTTACCACCACCCCCAACCCCCCATATTCCAATCATGCACACACCACATGAATCCATTTGTAACTTTGATTTAAAATCTTGCACACGAGCCTCTATTCCAATCAGGTCTTTATTTGCACTTGAAGTTGCTAGATGCAACTTCTGTGTAATTGTGTCAACAATTTCTTTGATGCCTTGTGCTTCATGCCTAAAAATTAAATATACAAGGATAATTAGTATATGCACACACTGAAAAAAGAGATCATTTGTTTCATGCTCCATGAAATAATGAAAAAGCATAATAACCCTTTATATATCACATTCAAAGTAGAATTCATAAAATTAATATCACAAGTAGTTTGTAACAATTTTCTCAGGGAAGATCAAATTGTTTCAAATATGAAAAAGTAAAGCAAGATAAATTTGTGGTTGTAGCTTGAAATGACATGTTAAGTACAATACAGAATTAGAATTAGACCTCAATGAAATCCATCTGAACTTATTTTCAGCTTATCCGGAATCCTATATAGGACTTGGGAATCATGTAACATACAAATTTCGTAATATACTCAAACTTGTATTTGTCATATAGAAAAAGAGACTGAAGTTTAAAATGTTAATGGGAGCCTAAGCCTACTAGCATAAGAAACCACGTCTAGTAAGAGTATCTCATAATCTTCTACCAGTTTATATTCCTCATATGCATGTCAAACAAAAAGCTAAATAGCCTCAACTTGTGACAATGTCTAATTTATGATGTCTTAGCACAGTCATGGTGATTATTATTCAACACTAGTCACCAAACAGATCAACTGACCTAGTCAAAGCCTCTGTTTATCCAATGCCATATTCAATTATTCATCATCAAGAATAATTAGTACAATTGTATAAAAAGCTTATCACGTTTAGGTAAAAAACGTATTGTGGAGCACACATATCTTAAGCATAAAAGATGCAAAAGCACAGAAGAACATTACCCGTTGGCTATTTGTTTGGTTTCCCATCCAGAAAGGTTACTTGCATCCACTAGTGCTTTCCTCCAAGATCCAACCTTGTCATTGTTCTCTAACCCATGTTTGAAAAATGCTTTTCCATAATTTTGTTTTTGTTTTCGTACAGCAGAGGGCTCCACGTCATAAAATATGGGCATTACGGTTAGGCCTTTTGTATCCTTGCATTTCATAATATATGCAAGTTCATCTAAGCACCATGAAGAATCTGCATAATTTTTAGAGAATACAATGATGGCAATCTGTGATTCTTCGATAGCCTTCATAAGGGTAGGACCGATTGATTCTCCATGGGGAAGTGTTTCATCGTCCTTGTAAGTGTAGATCCCTTGTTGTACAAGAGCTGTGTACAAATGATCCACAAAAGTCTTACGCGTGTCTTCCCCTCTAAAGCTAAGAAAAACATGATACTTCCACAGAGGAGTAGAAAAGGCTAGAGCAGAAGGAGAAGATGATGAAGATGCCATCTATGTATTTTTAGCACCTTAATGAAATGACCTATATAGAGAGAGATGTTAGCTTCCAAGATCACCACCTTCTGATGTTGAGATAAATGTCAGGGGTTTTAGCACCTCAATGAAATGACCTATATAGAGAGAAAGAAAGAAAGAGATAGAGATGTAGTTTCCAAGAAATTTCCATTTTACAAAAAGCTCAAGAAGAAATTTCCACTTTACCAAAAGCTAAAGAAATATCTCATCACCACATATTTATAAAGGCAATTGTATTCACATTTATGATCCGTTGTCACGGATTATAGGTTAATTTGCAAAAATAGTCCTATGACTTGTCATCTTTCTGGTTTTGGTCCTTACAAAATTATTTTTTCTATGTACAGTCCCTATTTCAATGTTTGTTTTCTGGTTTTGGTTTTCCCATCTAACAATCTACTAGAAGTCTATAATCAGTTAAATCTTTATCAATCGACTATGTCACTATACTGCCCATATCTTACATTTTTTTATTTCTTTTTTATATTTTTTATTAGTATATTATAGTTCTCGTATTATTTTGTTCAAAAACCCACCACCCTTTTGTCACCGGCCTTTATCATCATCGAGAACCCAACCACCATGTATTATTTTGACCCTCCAACTTCTATCTCCGAATCTGATCTTCAGCTATCGAACGAATTGAAGAGGAAGTTAATTTAGGTTCTTTTTCCACTGGACCGCGGTACTTTAAAGTGAATCGGATGCTTGAAAATCTTAAACATCAATGTGAACCGGATCTCCTAAGCCGCCCGGTCAACATGTTGGTCAATATGGTCGATCATTCAAAGCCCAAGGGAGTACGATCAATGGAAATTTAACGCTCATTTCATGAAAATCCAAATAGAAGGAGAGCAAGAGCGACCTAGAGATGGAAATCGAAATGTCAACACTCAACATTCAATCACAAAGTCCCAACAATTAGAAATCGAAAATATTTGTTATAAATGATTTTATCTCTCAAACTTTACACATCTCAGTTTCATTTTGATTGAATAAGTCAAATATAAGTTTCTGATTTTTGTTTGTTTTATATGATTATATTTGCATCTCAAATTTGATAATAGATTATTAGGAATTAGGTTTGATTTTTCTCTCTTTACCGATTTGGTCATATGGAATATGTTTAATGGTGTACTGACATTAGACAGTTTAAGTTTGTTGATTTTTTTTTTTTTTTTATTTGTTTGGAAACTTGAAATTGAAGATTTAGAAATTGATAATTTGTTATATGTGGTTTCTTAATTCTTCCAACGCAACATAGTGGAAATGAGATTTTTAAGACAAAACTGCAAATTTGGTCCTTGTGGTTTGCAAAAAACTTTGGATAGGATCCAAAAAGTTTTCGACTTGCATGGAATGTCCAAAATCAAGGTTTTTCTGAGTTTTTGGTCCAAAAAAACTTGAAATGACGGTTATACCCTTTTAATTTCTTTTTTATATTTTTAAAAATTTTTCAAATACTATTTTAATTTACAAATAAAAAGAAAAGAAAATAATTATCCCCAACACACACACACACACACACTCTCTCTCTCTCTCTCTCTCTCTCTCTCTCTCTCTCTCTCTCTCTCTCTCTCTCTCTCTCTCTCTCTCTGCACCATGGTTTTGTCGTTCTTTGTTTCCCTTCTTCAACATCTTTTTCCCCTTCTATATTCAACTTGACAATCAGGAAAAGAAAAAGGGAAAACATGAATGTGATTGTTTTTCAATCTCAGAATTGATATTGATTTGAAGTTTTTAAGAACCAAGATGTGCCCCCTTTCTTTCCCCTCCATGCAGATCCAATAACAATGTTTATTCTCCAAGAAAAGTGAAGAACCGATGAATTGGGTCTTCTCCACCTGCAATTTGTGTTCATGGTGAAGGTGGGTGAAGATCTATTATGTTTGTCGGAAAAACCCTAGCATCCGACGCCACCAACCTTTGATCTGTAATGAACTGGGTCTTCTTCATCGTTCTTCCTTTAGGGCTTTCTGGTTTAGATCTGTCCATCAAGCGATTTAAGGCACCTGGACATATTGTCCTTACTAGTGAACATACACTATGGATCTCCAACCTCCAGAGAATCGACGAGCACCACCGACGACACATCAACAACTTCAGATCCAAGCTTCGGTGATCCCGGTGGTGGAGGAGCATCAACCGCCCATCAAACTATCCTCAAAGCATTCATCGGAGCAACCCATATATGTGTGGATTCGTTGAATGTGGATTGATGTCGATTTCTAGATTTAATGTATTTTTTTGTCTTCATTCTTGTTGTTGTTCATACATATTGATCATCCTTTTCTTTTTCCAGATCAAAAGAAATTCGATTTAAATACATCATCGCTATATCTATCTGTATAATTTTGGTTTGAGATGAAGATATGAAAAGGATTTCATCTAGTTAGTCGTATATATACATAGATCGATTTTAGGTTTAGGGTTCGCATCAGAAATCGATTCATATTAATCGATTCAAAAGATGTTTGTTAAGAAGGAAATATGAAGATACATGTGTGAATTCGTTGAAGAAGAAGATGGAGGATGAATGAAGAACTAAGAAGCATGTCCCCTTTCACTTTGCGTTTCCGAGAGAGAGAGAGAGAGAGAGAGAGAGAGAGAGAGAGAGAGAGAGAGAGGAGAGAGAGAGAGAGAGAGAGAGAGAGAGAGAGAGAGGAGAGAGAGAGAGAGAGAGAGTTATTTTCTTTTCTTTTTTTAAATTAAAATAGTATTTAAAAAATTAAAAAAAATAAAAAAGTAAGTAAAAGGGTATAACCGTCATTTCAAGTTTTTTTGGACTAAAAACACAGAAAAAAACCTTGATTTTAGACCTTCCATGCAAGTCGAAAACTTTTCGAACCCTATCCAAAGTTTTTTGCAAACCACAAGGACTAAATTTGCAGTTTTGTCGATTTTTAATTGTGATTTCTCAAATCTCAATTTTCATTTGTATTTGGTTTTTGGTCTTTTATTCTACACAAGCTAAATATTTTTACTTTTTACCGTGAAAAAACTTTTTAGTACTTGCTACTTTTTACTTATTTTTTAATTTGATTTCTCAAAGTTCTTTTTCCAATTGTATCAAGTCATCCAACAGTGAATAGTTTTATTTAGGATTGTAGAATTTTGTTATTTATTTCTCATCTGTATTTGAATACAATGGTTATGTTTGTGTATTAATTTGGATTTGTTTTTCTTATATGTTTTAGTTTTTACCATGATTTCTGAAGGTTCGGCTCTTGATGGATATATATAGAAAAAATAAAAATAAAAATAAAAACTACATACTAACTGAACTATCGATAATTCTAAATTTCTAGCATTAATGTGTTTTCTTTTACTGTATTTACTTTATCACATATATTTATAAAATATTGCAATGTTTCTTAAAATCCATTTAAATGAGTGGAATTTTATAAATGGTTCGACTATCTTCTGTCTTTGAGAGGGTTGGGGACCTTCTTTCCTTTATTTCTTTTAGTCCTTGGCCCAAAATATCTTTTGGGCCTGATCCTAAATCCAACTTTAAAAACAAAAAAAAACTTAGATCAATCAACATATGTTACAACTAGATCGAGGTTAAAAATATATACAAAGCTCATCCCAAGATGCAAACTTGGCTCGAAGCTTAGCTATTAATGTCCCAAGCATCTAAAGTAAAAATCTATACATGATGAAAGATTTTGCATTTATAATGCAATTTATTTATATACCAAAAGAAATTTAAAAAAAAAATAGATACAACAACATGGAATCGGAATGAAGTTGGATTGTGCATCAATTATTTATCGAGCAATTTGCGTGCACGTGTGTTCGCACCTTTGACTCGTGTATTTATCTCGTCAACATCATCTGAAAGATCATCAAGAGCCTTGTTTTGTCTGCGTTCCAAGAAAACAACCCATGAACCAGACATAAACAAACTCAAAACAATAAACATGTTTATATTTTCAATACATATATCAAATGTAACAAATAATTATCCTATTTATATTTTTAACGTTTTATAAGGATAAATGACCAAAACGCCCTTTTACTTTCTACATATTTTACAAAATTAACATCAAGCTCAAACATTAAATAGGTGCAAGGGCCTATCCATGTGGTTTAGTTTAGTTATACACACTTGAATTAACTTTCCAAAATGTTATGGATTAATTTGCGGAGGAAGGCTAGCTCTTGAGGTGCAAAATTTTCTAAAAAAAGTCTAGGGTTCAAAACCTAACGTCAGACATATTAATAATTACTGTTGGTGTTTCACGATTTATTTTTAACTTATTTTCCAACTTGTCCATTGTAGTCAAAAAAAAAAATTAGAAGAAAAAGAAAAACAAACCTGTCGAGTTCAGATCCCATCTCGTTAGCCATTCCTTTCAAATCACCCAATATATCACTTAAATCATCCAACGCCTCGTCTTGCTTTTCCTTTTCCACCTGATTTTTTTTTAAATAAAAAAAAAGTAAAGATTACATAAAATACAACAATAACAGCAGATTGTTACAAATGTTGGCAACATATATATACCTCAACTTTCTGCATGGCACTCTTTGCTTCACCATGACCTTTCTTGTTATCCTTCTTCCCCTTGTGTCCTTGTTCCAAACCCAACTTCTCTCTTTGCTCCTTACTTGCTTTCTTATCTCCTTTTCCATTATCTAGCAAAACACAATATACTCAATTAAGATGAAATTAATAAAAGTTCACTCAAAAATTAATTAGACTAATTGGATTGAAATTACAAACCTATTGGCTCTGGCCCTTTAACTTCCTTCCCCTTCTTTGGCTTCCATGTCATGGAAAACATGCCTCCAAGGCTTCCTAATATCTTTTCACCCTGTAAAAACACATTTATGATCAAGAAACACATTACTTAATTCTGTTGATTCTATATCGAAGTAGCTTGTAGTATTCAAATAGAAGAAAACTTACCCTACTCAAATCTTTTTCCATGTCAGCAGCCTTCTCATGGGTCCTGTGAATCTGCTCTCCTTGAGCATGTAAAGTATCAAGGGTCTTACCAGCATCCGATTTAATATCTTCTGCTATCTTCAAGGCATTGTTTACACTTTTTGTAGTTTCTTGAGCCTGATCCACAGCATAATGTTCTAATTCCTGATTAGACATGCCATCGAGTTCGGCTTTACTTTTTTTCTTGATTGTTGTTTTCTTTTTCCCGAAGAAGTCATCATCATCGTCATCATCATCAATAGGGTTACTTTTTCCTGGGGGTGCAGAAGTCTTTTTAGCAGCTTCTTTCTTATCTGCTTGTTTTTTGTCTGTTTCTTTTTTATCTGCTTCGGTTTCTGCAGGTTTAGCAGCAGGAGGAGGCGCTCTTCTAAAGAACATGTTTGAAGATTAGATTATACCTATACTAAACCTAGATTGTTCAGCAATAATACCTGAATTTGAGAAAAAAAATATATGTTAATTCTGGACTTGAAATAACAATCTGATTGTGTTTAAACGATTAACAAGTACATATATCAGCCACAATGTTAGCAATTTAGGTCAAACGTTACGTAGATTTATAGCAAATTCACCATTGTATACATCTTCGAGTTTGTAGCATATGTTACACAATCATCAGAGTTTGATGTTAAAAATTAAGTTAATCGTTTCGATCGTATATTTCAAATTATGTGGTTTCTATAAACGGATCAAACGTGAGATCTTGTGATACGAAAACAGTAATTTGCAAGTTGCAACTTTTGAGGAACTAACGTTGAATTAAACAAATGTTCATTGAATTCAATATTTTGCACGATTGCATGAGAATAAGCACACTTATCAAACAGAATAAACATAAAAATTCACCTGACCAATGTACATAAACGAGGAACAATTACCCTCCGGCCGACCAAATTTATTTTCCTTTATTCTAATGGTGGAGGGAGAGAAAACAGGGAAGAGTCTTCTCTCCAATATACAGATTAATCGACCGATGAAATGCGAGATTGTATTTTGAAATTTGGTGGTTTTGAGGTTGACATTAATCGCTCTAAAATCACAGAGATGATTGAGTGGCATTGCGAAATTTCGTGCTGGTTTTTGCAAAATTGTTTGTTCCGCCATATTTGATTTCTTTTACGAAAATAATGCAAAGTATATATATATATATATATATATATATATATATATATATATATATATATATATATATATATATATATATATATATATATATATATTCCGAATAATAATATGATGTTATTAATTTTTGAGAAATTTGCAAAAATAGTCCTTGGGCTTGGGATATGTACTCAATTTCGTATAGTAAATATCAACATTGCACGTTCCGTCCTTTTAGACTAGTTGTATTGTGATTTTGGTCCTTTTAGACTTTGGTCCTATCATTGTGGTTTTGGTGTATCCAAACTAAAATCACTATTATACATTGTTTTAATGGGTATGTTTGGCAAAAGTAGCTGTTAGCTGGAAGTGGGTAGCGGTTAGCTGGTAGCAGGTAGCTGGTAGCGTGTAGCGGGTAGCTGGTAACGGGAAGCTGTAGCTCTTATTTGTTATATGAATGTTTGACAAAAATAGCTGGAAGCTTTTGAAATATATAAAATTACATAAAAAGACAATTGATTAAAAATAAATAAATATATAAATATATTTTTAAGGGTAATTATGAAAATTGATTTCAAAAGTTCAGTAGCGTTTTGTTAAACGCTACATGAAGTAGCTTTTAGAATCGGAGTGTTTTGTTAAAACTAAAAGCTAAACGTTCGTACTGCCAAACAAAGTTTTTTGTTTAAACTAGAGCGTTTTGTCAAAAGCTAAAAGCTAGAAACTCCCAAACGCTTCCAAAAGCTCTGTGTCAAACACACCCAATATCTATTTATTATTGAAAGACAAAATGGGTCTGCCGAACTGTCCACTCCCGTTTATCTTCTATTCCTAAAAACCCCCCCTCTTCCAATCTTCATCTCAAACCATCTATATGGTGAAGGTCTCCTATGACATCTTTGATTCATCTGTGGATGTCAATGGAACAACTATTAATGATCTTAGTCTCATACCGATTATAAAATCATATCCCAAGCCTAGTCTCGTATGTTGTGTACCTGGACAGTAACTAATCATCATTTTGTTGCTATACCCACGGATATCAGGTATTATAATTATGATCTTAATAAGTTAAAATTTACCAATTTGAATTTTCATTACCCAAAACCCGATAACAATCTAACTGGAAATATTACGAATTCCAATTCTAACTACATGCATTAACAAGTTTAATTTTTAGCAAATGTTCTATAAAATAATCACGTTATACAAAAAGTATAATATCTAAATTTTATGATAAGTAGATCAAGATCCTAACGTAAATATTAAAAATGATATTAGTAATTTTCATTATAAGAAGCAAGCAGTAGCCACACAACAAACTTTATATTTATATTTTTGATATCACATATAACATTGTAAACTAATTATGAAAACAGTTTCTCTTCTCGAACTCCTTAAAACTATTGATCACCATCCCTTAAGCCTTTGACTCAGTGTCTCTTACTTGTTTAAGTTGTTGAGGTGAAATGGTGGTTGTCGAGGCCAACAAAATAAATAATCTTAAATCTTGTACATTAAAATAGTGTATAGTGGTAAATGAATCGTATCCACGGATATTAGTTCAATTTTATAACTCTATGACAATCTTTTTGTAAAAATACTTATACAATAACAATAAAAAAAGGGGGTTTTGGTCTTTTGAGATGTTTAAAAGAAAATAAGAGTTAAACTAGGATTTAAAGACACAATTTAACAAAAGCAAGAATTTGATGTAAAATCAATGAGAGAAAGAAGGTTGACTTAAGGTTTCCTTACTTGAACATTTAGTGAACATATCATTAGAACCTAATGGTGCAATACTTGTTTAAAATCTCTAATTTGGCTATAGTAATCCAAGAAGCTTAAGATTACCTAGACTTTTCTTAGTTAATAAAATAACTAGAGAAGCTCATAACATAATTTCTTAGTTAAAGTCACAATTCTCATTAAGCATATAATTAGTGAAAATTAACTAGCATTAAGAACCAAAAAATCACCAAATTCAAGAGGAGTTAAATGTTTTCACTACCATGTTTGAGAAAATGTTTTTGTGATTGTGTGAAATGAAAACTAACACAAGAACCACTTGTTGCTTGCTAATTTGAAGATCCATTACTTAATCAAGAAATTAGCCAACTAATCACTACAAATACATTTAAACTCATGAATAAAAACATACAAGTAGCAGGAAGATGTTAAAACATAAAAACATTCTCATAAAGATTCAAGAAAAAGTTCATAGAGTTATTCAACATTCAACCAAATATTTAAATGATTTCACTAAAGTCAACCAAGATTAGTTTAGTCTAGCATGGCTAAACTCATGATAACAAAAGAAAAGTTAAGAGTACCCAACATGTAGTAAGAATCAAGAGCAAAAGATGATGTTTTTGATGTTCTTAAAGAGCTCCAAGACCTCCAAAAACTCCATAGAATAACTTCAAAATATGATGTCAAGAAGTGTGCAAAAGATGCACACCAACCTTCCTCAAATAGCTCTCAATATGGAATTCTGAAAATGCCCCTGCAGCTCCGTGCGCAGCTGCGCGGCCGCACAGCTCTGCGCGGGTGGGTTGCGCGGGTGGCTCCTGATGTGGGCTTCTTTAAGTTTTGGGCCTCCACAACTTAGTCCATTGGCCCAGTTTGAGTCCATTCAACTCCTATCCCATTTTTCTTCAAGATTTCTTCATTTTAAGCCCAATTTGGCTTCTTCAAGTCACCCAAAGCTCGTGCACTCGCTTAATCAATAATCCCCGCATGCACAAATATTCTTCCATTTTCTTGCAAATTCAAAGCTCATTTACTCCAAGCCTTTAAATAATCAACAAGCCCACTCCATACATCATTTGCACTAGATATCAAGCCCATAATCATTGTTATCTTCCAAGTCCAATCGCCTCCCAAAGATCCCGCTCCGCTAGTCTCCTTAAAATCTGCAATTATGCCCACGAAACTAGAAAGTACCCGAAATAGTCATAAAATAACAATAAGGAAAATATGTATGAAGATTAGCTAAATTATGAATGAAAAAAATGCTAAAATAAACTATAAAAAGAAGTAAATAAAATGAAACTATCATGAAGCGAGAGGACTAAGGTTGAAATTGGGTGGAAATTGTGCTCTATGTATCTCAATGTGATCAGTATCCTTAGACAACAAAAGGATCTAATTCGGGTAAGATGTTGAGCACCTTGGATGCATATTGATGATGATTACACATTTGTTTGAAACATATCATTCAATGAAATATGATCCGAGGAATATGATATTTTATCTTCATATCAAGATATCATGTACTCATGTACTTATCAGACATAATGATAGGGTGGGGGATCCAATGACTCAAAACATTGTTTGAGTCGTTATTGTAACATGTCAACTGTAATGGAAAAGTTTGATGTATTTTATGTGGGGTCGTCGGTGATGACAAAGGGAGGGGCAAGGGAAGAGAAAGGGGTTGATGGACTTACGGAGGGAGTTCTTCCTTATCTCTTTTAAATTGACTATTACTTTATTGAACCAAAGACAAGAGGTAGTCCTACCCTCCAGTGTCGGGTATTTCAATGTACTAAAATGTCAAACTAACATATTTCCATATGTCTATTTTTTTGCAAACTGGTGCAAAAAAGGAAAAATAAGTTCTTTTTCACCCTGAATAGCAAAAGTACTTTCCTTCTTCTATTTTGTCATTACATGATGCAAAAAGGAAACTTAGTTTCTATAAAACAAATACATGGATTACAAAATCTGTTAATGTACATAGTATAAAATAGGGGGTAAATTTATTTCTTTTTTCAAAATAAAAGGTTTTTAGCCCATGATTTCTGGAAACAAACTCTTAAAAACGAAGTTCACAATGAAAATCATAATGAATAACAAAGTAATAAGTTCTAAGAAGTAATATTGCCTCAAATCTCTTCAAAAGCTAAACCTTAATCGAAATCTGAGCTTCTTCTGAGTTCCATCACTTCTATGATCTCCAAAAGTCGAATAATACTCCAAGCATTCGTTAGGCATGAGAGAATAATCGTAATATTTATAATTCCCGAATCTGGCCCACCACGTCGTGGTTGACCGCTACCACGACGTGGTCTTCATAAAAAACACATAATCAACAAGTTACTACTCCATCGGGATTTTCCAAACACCACGTCGTGTTGAGACAACCGCGACTTGGTCTTCCAGCTTTAAGTCTTCTTTGATTTTTATCCATTTTTCCTGCTTCCAGCTCCGCAATAGCTTCCTTTTGATCCCGAGCATGTTTTCGCTGCTACAAAACATATTTTAAACAAATTAAGTACGTTTTGTTCTATAATGAGTATAAATGTAGCAAAAAGTATTAAAATAATGTATTAAATATATAACTAAATATGCACTTATCATTGCCCTTTTAAATATATAATTAAAGCTTTCAAGAGCATTCAATCACATTTATAAAATAATAATTCCAAAACATTGCAGGAGCAGAAAACATCACAGGTTTAAAACATAATGTAGTAATTTCATAAATCTTCAAGAGAATGTTGTCTGTAGTCACACCGGTCTCTTTCCCTTGTCAGTACCTGATGATCCTGAAAAATGTTAAATAACAATGGGTAAGCATAATTCTTAGTGAGCATACACATTAATCTACCATTATACATATCACTTACTTACACATATCACACATATCATATTTCTTATAAAACATAGCATAACATGAACATTTATAGCACATATTGTCGGTACCAACCATAAGTTTGTTCCACCTTCAGGGAACTACCCCCTTACTCCCTAATAGGGAAATAATAGATAAGAGTGTAGCTTGTCTCACTAGAGAACAAACCACATTCTGTCTTTCTTTTCTCACTCTACCGAATTAGGGTATCCGTGAATAATAACATAAAACAAATAATGCCTAAATAATATAATAGGAGGGTTAGTGTAACTTGCCTCTCTTGATAACTTGAAACACTCTAGTTGCAAGAAATAAATGA